AATTGAAATATCTCTTATCTTGAAGTTCATTTCAAAATTGAACAATATATAGCTACACATCAGAATTGAAAAACTGAAAATTTGTTAATAAACTTTTGGTACAGAATGGGCCACATTTATGTTACTTTTTGTCAATTTTTACCCATGTTTTTCCCATTTTAGTAACAATAATTTCTTTTTATATTCTTAATTTTAGCATATTTTTCGTAAAATGTACGAAATAAATCTAAAAACTATAAAAAAAAATCCACGTGTCTCTATTTTTTAATATATATATATATATATATTGTTACAATTAGTCAGTTACCTTAAATTGTGTTAGAAACAGAAAGAACCAATATATATTTTCGACCAAAAATTGAAAAATCATTTTTTGACAAATTTCGTTTAAAAAAAACCCTCTTAAGCTCCTTACATATAAATTTAAGTAATTCATATAGTTAAGAAGGTTATTTTTTCAATTCCTATATATATATATATATATATATATATATATATAAACTCACACACTCTCTATATTTATCTTGTTCAAATTTTCAATCGTTAATAAAATACATTTTAAAGCACTCAATTGAGCTGAATTTTATATACACGCTTATTTTCGATGACAATACAGTAATTTAATTATAATTAATAGAAATTAATTCATTAAAACAAATTATTCAAAGAATTACAAATACAGCCACGTTGGCATCATTTTAGGCGACTTAGCGACTATTTTGGTGGGTCAAAATTTGAAAAAAGTTTTTTTCCTCACATTTTAAAGCTCTCATTTGAGGTGAGATTTCTATACACTATTGTTTTGGGTAACAATACGATAATTTAGTTTTAATTTATTTATAATTATTGACTGAAATTAATTATTTAAAGAATTACAGATACAGCCCCATTGACTTCATTTTTAGCGACTTGGGTCAAAACTTTAAAAGATTTTTTTCCCCTCACATTTCAAAGCTGAACAGTTGAACGGAAATTTTAGAAACACGATTGTTTTGGATGGCATTTCGAATTTTATGATAATTGATAAAAATTAATTGCCACTTAATGTTGTGATTCTGTCATATGTATATACATATTTATATTAATTATAACTATTTAATAAAAAGTAACTAAAAAATTTTTTTTTGTTGATCTAAGTAGGAATTGGCTTTAAAAATGTTTTTGTATTGCTTGTTAGAGTTTGTAAATATTCTCTATTTTAATTTAAAACCTTTTAATGCGCGCGCGCGTATTTCTTTCAAATTTTCATCAACTTCCAGACGCAAACTTTCAAATTAATTTTCTCCGAAATAACCATTTAATTCTTAATGATTCTTCAAACCTTTTGCTTAAGATAAGCTTTCTGTTTTCTTTTTTTCATATCCTTTCAATTTTTTTAGACATCCTTTGAGTTGAAATTTCATTCATGCCGTGTAAAACTTTAAACTTTATCAATGGAAGCATTTTAAAATAAGAAAAAAAATGTGTGCCTTTTATGAGTATCGTGGGTAGTATTGCAAATGCTTCCTCATTTCTTTAATAACCGCAGCTTCCTATGGTTTTTGGAGGATATAACCACAGCTTCCGATTTTTTTCCTTGTTTTTTCCTGCAGTTAATTGACCGAAGATCTTATCCATTTTAACTTGCAGTAACCATTACCATGGAACGACAAGCGTAAAATTGTATGAAGTAGTAAAGGCTTGCTAAAGAGGAAGCGTTGATTACTTAGTTAATAAAGAGCTTTATTTAAAGCTCGAGACCAAGTAGAGTAAACGTTTGCTCTTAAAAAGGAAATTTTGCATTAAGGGTTTTCTTTTGTATATCTACCAATTTTGTTTAAGGATGCATTTTTTGTTATATTTCTAAAATCTAGAAGAGGTTATTTTATTATAATCAAATAAATAAAATGATTCTGTGTTTAAAATAAACTTAAACAAGTAGTATAAAAAAAGTTTTTTTAAGTCAATTCCTACTTAGATCCACAACAAAAAAATTATTTACTTACTTTTTATTAAATAGTTACAATTAATATAAATATGTATATACATATTACTAAATCACAACATTAATTGACTATTAATTTTTATTAATTATCATTAAAGTATCGTATTGTCATCCAAAACAATCGTGTATATAAAATTTCAGTTCAACTGAATGCTTTGAAACGTGAGGAAAAAAAAAATCTTTTAAAGTTTTGACCCAAGTCGCTAAAAATGAAGCCAACGTGGCTGTATCTGTAATTCTTTAAAAAAATTTATTTTAGTCAACAATTTTAATTAATTATAATTAAAGCATCGTATTGTTACCCAAAACAATAATGTATAGAAAATTTTCGCTCAAGTGAGCGCTTTAAAATGTGAGGGAAAAAACCTTTTCAAGTTTTGACACAAGTCGCCAAAAATAATGCCAACGTGGCTGTATTTGTAATTCTTGGAATAATTAGTTTTAATCAATTTTTATAAATTGAGTGCTTTAAAATGCATTTTATAAACGATTGAAAATTTAAACAAGATAAATACAGAGAGTGTGTGTGAACTAATAGTAGGAATTGGAAAAAAAAAATACTGTATAAACCGGCGTTTTGCGCGAACTTTTAACTCAAAAAATAAGATCGAAATTTATGGTGCGTGCTATACGCCGGGTATAAAAATTATAGAGCCGTCTATACGATATAGTGGTTAGTGACGCTGACTGCTGTACCGTAGGGACTGGGTTAGCCGATAGGTCCCTGGAAAAGGCATGGATGTTTGTAAATGAAGAGTGCCTTTGTGGCATGGGGGTACTCTAAATAGCCGTCGTCCTCTTGTGAGGTTAGTGGCAGGGAAAGAGAGGTAGGAGGCTCCTGAGCACCCCAGGGTGGCACCGAGCTAAATCGTACTAAAAGCTACGGATAACGAATGGCGTAAATATCTAGCCCCTTGCGGCGATGAATTTTGCGGGCCTTGATCTGATGTTGCTGTCGATCAGGTGGCATAAGTCACAACAACAAACATGATCGAAAAAAAATTTTAAAAACTAACTTTTTTTTAATAAAAAAAAAAAGATTAGCATAAAAAAAAATTAGACGTCTACAAATGAGAAAATGATGTTTATTTAAACGAAATGACCTATCTTATGAGCTTAAAGGGTTATATCTCTAGAAGTATACCATTTTTTTTCAAAATGCCGAGATAATACCTTAAATAAATAAATAACTTCGAAACATAACAGCATTGCATACGTACATTTCAGGATTCTTTGCAAAAAGGTGCGCGTTATACATCGAATATACCTAAGAATCAAAAAATGCAGTTTGAAAGTATAGCCAATCCGCGGTATAGTGGTTAGTGAAGCTGACTACGGTGCCGTAGGGACTGGGTTCGAATCGCAGAGAAGGCATGGATGTTTGTGTTGTAATCCTTTCTTCTGTCTGTGTTGTATATATGCGTAGTGCACGGGATTTACAAATGTTAAAAAAAAGTTCGCGTTATACAGCAAATATATCTAAAAATCAAAAAATGTAGCTTGAAAGTATAGTGCGGGTTATACGCCGGATTTTACGGTAGATCTTTTTTACGAGTATTTTTTTTTTGAATAAAAATATAATAATCTTTGACGTATTCATGGCGAACTTTTTCATTACCATGCATATTTTTAAAATACTGTGATAATTCGATAAACCTTTTAAGTACATTGAAAGTAACTAAAGTACTCCTCAAAATAAAATAAGAAAAAAAAATTTCATTCTTATTTGTGTTAAGTTTACCCAAACTATGCCTTTATTGTTGTGTTTTTGTTTGTGAGTAAAGTTTTTTGAAAGGGATAAGTTTGCATAATTCATAACTAGTGCTCATGCTTGTAAATTTGATTTAACGAATCGTATCATTAGCATTTCTGTGAAAGACGCGAGGCCACTACTATTTTTTGTATAACTGTTAGGTGGAGCAAAATTTTCCAAAATGTTTCATAACACTTTTATCAATGAATAATTTAAAAAGTAAGAGTGTCAGAGTATTAATAAATCATTCATGATTTTATTATAAAATATTGAGTCGGTTAATAAAATAACAGGAACATCGCAGTAATTGTTTAAATATTAACCTTGGTCGAATGGGTGTTCACTTGAATTAACTGATGTTATATAACTGAAAATATTGTAAAATTTTTTGCGAGACGTGAATCTTTAAATGATTTTAAAAAGAAAAGCATTAATCAAATGTTATGAATTATAATCTGAGCGGAAAAAATGTAAGAACTTCTTGAATACAAATGAAATTTCCCATTAATAAATCGCAATGTATAATTGAAAATGAAATTTGATATTATGCTTGTATTCTGTAGTTCTTATTTATTTGTCCTTTGAGTAACTGCAACACAGAAAATATTTCACAAAATTCCCTTACTTTTTACTAGTATCTTGACTTAGGATATTTTCGTCATCGCTGCGTATTTCCGATCATAAGCCCAACCGTGAACAAGTCGAAAGTGTGTTTTTTTCTCTAACATTTACCCAAAATTCAAAACCCTTATATAAGCTCAAGTGAGTGGGAGGTGGTATCGTAATTTTCAAACATGTCGCCATGAAAACCGAATTGTTGTGAAGCGGATAAAACGAGTGGAATATTTTTCCAATTAATTTCTGTAAAATAAAACGTAAACTGTGGTATTTTTGTATTTAATAACCCTAATGGAAGATGCATTTGTTTTTATTCATTTGTTATCTTGTACAATATCCGATCTTGTCACACTCTCTGCGCCATTTCTTTCTTTTTTCGATTTCTACTATTAGTTCACACTCTCCGTATATATATATTTGTTTATTTATATATCTTGTTCAAATTTTCAATCGTTTATAAAATACTTTCTATTCATCCATTCAAGTTCATATACATTTTTTAAAACTTGTAGTCGATGACACTTGATGTTAATACAATTTTTTTCAAATATTAATTCATTAAATTAAATTTAAAAAATGAATAAATAGTAAACAACATAATAAGAGTTCAACAGCATATATGGAAAAAAACCGTTCGTTGTGTCCATGTAGCACAATGGCTAGTGCGTTGGACTTCTAATCCAAAAGCCGTGGGTTCGAATCCCACTTGAAATGGCCTAATTTCTGAGAATGTGATTTTTTTACAATACTATTTTACTATAATAAAATTTAATAAATGAATAAATAGTAACAAACACAAAAAAATAGTAGTCCAACACCATATATAGAAAGGCAAATGGGGAAAATCGCTTTCTATTTTGTCACTTAATATTGTGATTCTGTCATATGTATATGCATATTTATAAAAATTGTAACTATTTAATAAAAAGTAACAAAAATAAAATGTTTCTTTGTTGACCTAAGTAGGAATTGACTTTAAAATTTTTTTACATTACTTAATTTTTTTTTTTTTTTTTTTTTTTTTGGAAAATAAGCGGGGACAGAGAGAAATTCGACTTAGGAATGAGATCTTCGACTTATATTTCATATCTTGGAAGAAAGACTCGCTGTGTGCATGATGATCATATGCATTCAAACATTCTAATAAATAACGGTGAATATTTAGAACTATTCGGAATTTCGAACTCAGACACCATTTTAAAATGATTTATGCGACTTTTCCCCCATTTAGAATAGCAATTCTATTCCAAACACCAAAAAGTAAAAATATTAAAATCGCATACGCATTGAGTGAGTGAATATGAACGTCGCACTGTTCAGTTACTCAAGGGTTTTTGGCGACGGACCTCGTAATTTTGAACCATGGTCAAGTGACAAAGACGACACCTCAGCTGGTAACCCCTCTAACTACCACACCACACCAACAGGAGGACGTTTGAGCTCTGGACAGATTTAACGCGCATCGCTCCCCTACACGGTGAGTCTTCAGCGGTACTAGGCTCGAACTCATGACACGCCGTCTATGATTCCATATTGCTTACGCATTGCTCACGTTAAATGTTTTAAAAACTGATTTTAAACTGAACTTACATCATAAAAAGTTCCGAAAATTCTCGGCTTATTAACGGAAATATAGGGTGTCAGAAAAATATGGCTACACTTTCAAAATTGATTTAAAAATAAACAAGTATTTTCACTTGCACTTTTTTACGTTCTAATAAAAAAACGATTTAAGTGGGTAGGTTCACGAAACAGGATCTGTATCTCAGTTAAAAATAGGTTTTTTTAAGGAACATTTACAAACATTCTATTGAATAAAAATCTCCAATTTTTTTACTGAATATTCTTTGAACCTTAATGCATACTTTAATCAGAGATTTTATGGATCAGATGTCTAGTTATGTTTTTAAAAAATATTTTTTTGCACAAATCTGTTTTTTTTTCTAAAAAAACCAGTGAAATTTAGTGATGTTTAATGCTATAAATTAAGTCAGAATATTTTTTGAAAAAAAAACTCTCGATTAAAGTGTGTAATTATTAATTATGCAAAGTTATAAACTGTTAAATGCAGTAGTTAAGGAACAAATGTTCCTTATATGGTAAAAATGTTAGTTTTGAGAAAAATGGATTTTAGCAATGGATTTAGTAGACTTTGACAGGTGGTAAAGCATTTTCAAAAAATTATTAAAAATACTTCTACTGCACGTAGAATGATAATTTTTTCACCATTAGAAGCGTAGAAATTCATACTTTATTAAAATGGGAAAAGTGAAAAATGTGTTTGGGGGTCGAAATTCATGAACCTACCCCCTTAAGTTTCTGTTTTATGAAATGCAAACTTATGACGTAATGTCCACGTTTTGCAACATTCTATTTCAATTTAAAATTTCTTCAACGCAAGGACAAGCGCAAGTTGTAGAAAGGTTTATGGAATATAAATCTGTGACACATGTACAGCGTGAATGGGGCACCACCACATTACAGTTTGGAAATTCACTGAGCGATGGATGGAAAGAGGCAATCTATTACTGTGGCCATCTAGATCTCTAGACCTAACACCCTTAGACTTCTTGTAGGGATATGTGAAAAACATTGATTAATAATCTTTAATTTGTTTCACCGATGAATTGAAAAGTCGAATTACAGTGGACCTTCGATCCTGTGATGCTTCATAGAACGTGGCTATAAGTGTCGTATAGACTTGATGTTTTGCGCACAACTATTAGTGCGCACATTAAAATCGAGTCTATACGACATTGTGAAAAAAACTTTGGTATTTTTTAATGGAACTTAAAAAACCGTAAGTGAATATCTTTGCTTGCTTATTTGTTAAAAATATAAGAAAATGTAGCAATACAGTAATACCCGAACTAACGAGATAGATAGGACTGAGATATAGCTGCGTAAGTCGGTGTATATTTTCGCTTATTAATACATATAAATTACTTTTAACTGGTGCTGAAGAGGAAAGAAAATAGTAGTTTATAAAAAAATGTTTTTTAAGATCTTGGATAACACAAATACAAAATCGCAAACCGAAGTTGTTTTGACGTAGGTTTCATAAAATCAAATTTCTAATTTCTAAAAATCTATTCTAAAAATTTTTTCTCCAGCAAAATTTTCTCTTAGCATGCTAATAATTTTTTTAAAATTTTTTATTTAGTTGAAAAAATACGCTCTTCGTTGTAGTATGTATTTTCTAAGATTTGATAGCCTTTTTCAGTCCCTACTATTAACTCGCTCTCTTTTTTTTTTGTATAGTATATATTTATCTTGTTCAAATTTTCAATCGTTAATAAAATACCTTTCTATTCATCCGATCAAGTTCAAATAATTTTTTTAACTTGTACTGGATGACTCTTGATGTTATTACAGTTTTTTCAAAGATTAATTCATTAATTACCGGTTAATTAATTAATCACTGGTTTTCGACGCCAACTTTGATTCGTCTGTATTGTTGTAACAAGTAACTGTTAAAACAATGACAAAAGTTGGCGTCGAAAACCGGTTTTTCAGCCAAACTAGCCAAAGTGGGTGTGCATTGTTAGAACAATGCAGACAAATCATTCTCTTTTTTCAATTCCTACTATTATAGTGCACCCTTTCCCTATATAAAAAAATTATATATCGTTCAAATTTTCAATCGTTAATAAAATACTTTCTATTCATCCATTCAAAGTAGGAATTGACTTAAAAAACTTTTTTTATATTACTTGTTCAATTAAACTGGGGTCTCTTGTTAAATTCTCAACCATCATTCGATTTTCTGAATGAATTAAGTCTTCAATGTCTTACTCTTGCTCATGCATTTCTATGAGCTTATCAATTGTCAACTCCTGATTGAGGGAATCCAACAGAGTTCTTAAACGTCATCACTATCCACTTCTAAATTTATTTGTGCGTGAAAAGATCGACAACTTCTTCAATCACATTACCAATTTTATCAGGTTCTGGCACTGCACCGCCTAAGTTTCAATGGTGAATAAATAATTTAATAAAATAAAAAGACTAATGGACGAGATTTGAAAATCTCGTAACTCCGGGTTCACATAGTATTTACTCTATTTTTGGGCACACAGTATATAGCGCACCCCCCCCCTCCCTTCATGATACTATAAAACTGTTTTCTCCTCTAACATACGAATCACGCAGTGAAGCTATCCATCACTAAAAATATGGGCGTCGTAATTATATATATAATTTTAATGGAAAGAGGATATACATTTAAATCCCTGCAGATTTTTTGAATGAAAAAAGGCGAACGTATTCAATAAACTGTACTAAAATTCCATTTCAATTAAATTATTTTTATTTAATCCAACGAATTCATTCCCTCCCTCTTCCCATCTCAGTGACATTTCACATAAATCAAGTAATTGAACTTCAAACCAGGGTTTAAGCCAAACGGCAAAGAAGAAAAAGAAATTAACTACGCCAGAAGCTGAAGAGGTACCTACCCTATGATTGATGAATATCGTGACAGTGCGCAATACAAAAGAAAGACACCGAGCTCTCTTCTCATCCTTCTTTTCCTTTCTATTTCTCTTTCTAACCGTTCTGTGACTTTTTTCCCCTATTTTTTTTTTCTAAGAGGGGACGTGTTCCCCATCTCGCCAACGCTAATTGGCATCTTCTGTCTAACAAGAGCGCTCGCGTGCCAGAACATCGTCGCTTGTTTAAATTTTTCCTCGTGTCTGTAAGATGGGCGATGAAGACTTGATTTAAAGCGCCCGCGACTGTTGGGGGACAAAAAAGAGAAAGAAATCCTCCTCAACAAGGACATTGAAAATTGTCACGTATGCAATTAACTAGTTGGATTTCTTGTCGGATTGTAACACTCTTTCTTTCGTCACTTGCTGCCATTTTAGGATTCAGCAAGGAAAAATTTAACGCTACGTTCGTGCTGATTACTACATTCATATTGGGCAATGTGGCTTAACAGATATTTATCAAAAGCAGAAATATATTTGAAATTTAGTTCTTTATTAATGTGTACAGCTAAATACACTTAACGCGAAAACGCTTAAGACGAAATATCGGTTAACACGAAATAATACAACAGAACGGTCCCAACAAATTATTATGTATTTTCATGCATTTTTTTAAATCTTAACAAGAAACCGAAAATCGCTTAACTTGAAAAGATTTCCCTTTTGCGAATGAACAAAATACGGAAAACACCAGCCCCTTAATGAAATGCTTGAGAAAGTTTCTGTATTATCGGTCTGTTCTACTGTATCATCGGATGAATTCGTTGCAGTAGATGATGACAATGTGTGTACAGCCTTAGTTATGGCAAATGAAGACATTTTAAAGTTTTTTCAAAGTTCAAAAACTGTCATTCATGCAAACTCTTACGACGAAAATGAAATGAAATGCAGTTTCCGTTCTCACGTCACCTGAAATGACGAACATCATGAAAAGTATGGGCAGTTATTTAGACGCAGATTCGAATGGTGAAGTGAATAACAAAATGGACGACAGCGAATAATTTGTGGACAATTGGGTGCTAAAAAAGACAATACAAAGAAAAATATCAGATTACATTCTAAAAACTCAATAACTTAATTGCTTTAAAAAAACAATTAAGTCTTTGAGAATGTTTTTATTAAATGCATGCATATATATGTAAATAAAATATACTTTTATAAACTTATATTTTTAATATATGTATTTCCCTTCCTTTTTTGTAATATCCTTTAACACGAAACTCT